GTTAATGGAAAAATAAATGTTAACTTTAAACCTGAGCTTCCCATGAAAACGGCCCTTCCATCGGCAATGAGTAATAAGTGATCAAAAAGTTCAAACACTTGAGACGACGGCTGATGTATAGTACAGACTATAGTCCGGCCCTCACAGGCCATCGATTTTAACATACGTACAATATTTTCGGCATTAAACGAGTCCAACCCAGTCGTCGGCTCATCGCTTATATTGTAGTAGAATTATGTAAAATAATAAAACAATTAATGTATTATTTACAAAATTATATTATAATATAGCATATTATGTACCATAAGAGTATCGATGGATTTGAAAACAACTAAAATTAAAATTAAGTTAGTGAGCTTTTAATTTTCTCTAACTTATATGATTTAATTTACGACAATTATAATCAAGTTATGATAGATATGTGAAACAGTTTAACCTCCGATGCAAATGACAATCGTTTCATTTCACCCCCGGATATGCCTTTAAATGTTGAATCGCCACCAATTCTAGTCTCCGAGCAATTGACCAAGTTTAACTAATATTGAATTTTACTCATACCATCAATTTTGTTTTATAAAGTTTTGGCAATAAAATGCTTAACAATAATGATAGATATTAACCAAATGTTTATTTTCAATGTTTTTATAATGGGGCGGTCAACTGATCTCCAGCATGCGGAAAACGCTATATCTCTTTAACTATAAGAGCTATCCTTATTCTGTAAAAAGCATTCAAGAGCCCCATATACGCAAGATCTATTGACTAGCCTGTCAAAATTTTTTGGTCACGTGGTATACAAAATATGGGACAATTCGGAATGGTCATATTATTGGCCAAACCATAAGAAATATAGAGATGGTCCCCATCGGTAATTTGTAAAGGAATAAATTCTGCACACAATAAAAAAAGAACTACTAAAATCTGATCACTAGTATAGATTTTATGACTCAATAAAGACAAGCTTTCCGTAATGCTAATCCTATGGGGAAATTTTAAGTAAGGAATATTGAGATGGTTTCAATACAAAATATTTAGAGCAAATAATTATGTATCATATAAAAAAAGAATTATCAAAATTGGACATGTATTTTAGGTTTTATCAACAAAAGAGTGATGGTATTTTATTATAATATGAATTTTTCCAAAATGTTCAAAATAGAGTATTTTGAATAGTATTGGATTTAATGTAAATTATAAAAGTTATTAGTATTTATTATGCTTATTCTTTATTATAATCTGTTTGTTAAATGAATAAAAAGTATATTTATGAGATATCAGGGCCCCAAAAAAGTCCTGACTATTTTTTATACAAAATGTTAATTTATTTTATTCTTAAGATAATTAACTTTAATCAATGATATATTCTCCTTTATTATCGACAACTGTCTGCCATTGTGTCACCAATTTTTCAATTTCCTAATTGAAGATTAAACTTGATTTTAAGACCACAATCTGAAGACACCCCCGATTTGATTACATCTGCCATTTTTAACACCATTTCTCTCACAGACATTAGAAATGATGGGTATCTGTGGTAATCAGTAGGGGGTATATCAGTGTTGATGGCAGTGTGGGTATAGTTTTTATACCTCTTGTTATTAAACTTTAATTGGGGTTTAATTTTCAAAATTACTTTTTTCGGGAATTTTTTTAGCATTGAAATACTGTAAAACACAGTTTTAAATTAGCGATCGGCAAGGATTTGTATAGATTCACTAGGAGTTATCAGATAAGGGACGTAGGGATGGGATACTTGTATAGTAGTCGGTTATACAAACTGTAGCCTCAGGGCTTGGTCAAAGTTGTGAGGGCTATTCACTCGTTTGTAGCGGAGACCACCACGGCTACAATCAAGGGCGCGGCACATTTTTAGCTATAGCGGTCATTCATGCACACTCGTACAATTTACATTATAAATGTGTTTAATTTTTGTAGTGCACAATCGCGTCAAATAAGCTCTTTATAAATTTGTATAAAACAATGTCTAATGTGTATATTGTTCGGGGAATCGCTGGTCATCGATGACAATAATTATTTTTAATATTTATATCACAAAATAATCTCAATATATAGTAGCTTTTATAACAACGAGCTTTGTCTTATAAGTATGTGTTTTACTTACAAAAATATGGGTTAAAGTTCAGGTATCATTTTTGGACATAACTTTCTTTTTCACCTAGATAAGAATATAATTGTGATCATAATTAGTGACTATTAGATGGAAAATTAGACCACATTTTTTATATATGAATTGTGATTAATTATTTATAAATTATTTATGAAGATTTTTTTCTCAAATCTTACTTCTTATAAATTGAAGTTTTAATAAAACTATGTAAAAATATTAAAGTAGTTGTAAATGAAGTGCTTCGCAATCAAGTGCTGTGTTGCCAGGTCATTTCAACAAAGACCTTGATATAATCATTTTTAAGAAAATTTGTCCGGGAGATTCCTTGAGATTTTGCAAAGAGGTCCTTAAGTTAGACAAATAGATATAAAAAGTCATTTACATATAATAATTATCAAAATAAGGTAGTCAAACCCTACATAGCTTATTAATATTCAAAATTATCACCATTACTCTCATAAAACAATTATGCACACCATGACGCTTGATAAATTAAGTATTTATTTTCATTCATAGTATAATTACATATAAGCTTTTTGTCAATTTTTTAACAAAAAGTGTTGATTTTATCAAAATATTTATTATGATTCAATTCCGGGAGCTCTCCATATCAAAGTTATCCATACCCTCATTCCGGGAAAATTCCGGGCAACCGAGTGTTTCTGGCAACACTAACGACAGCCCGTTTCACAGACACCGGCAATACCTGTAAATATCTACCACTTGTGGAAACATCGGTACAGATGGGTTAGCGTATGGGTTGACAACACAAAAATTGTTATACATATGAAATGCTACAAATTTTGGGCCAAAATGTGCTGATATGATAGATTAGTTGACAACATAGAGAATATTCTAAACTTAAGTCTATGAGGTTTGTATTTAGGTTTTGGAATTTGTTTGATAACATAGAGAAGTTGATAGAATAGAAGTTTACAATGCGAAACAGCTTGTTAGCTCAATTTGCCTAATATATGAGTTAATTTTAAAACATTATAATTTATTTGATGTCAGACAATCTTATATTTAGTAAAATATTAATTATAATAAAATTTTTGAAGATATTAATTAAATTAACAATTAATCAGAGAATTGAATGATAAGCATATAATTGGATACAACGGCGTAAACATAAAATGCAAACTCAAGAGAACTCATTGGGAATAAGTTTAGACAATAAAAGCAGATATCGTGTGAACACAACCTCTCTATGAATGCCAAAAGTTTGATACGATTTCTGACTGAAATTTTTCGGCATTTCATATATTCGTATAAAATAGGAATTGATTTATACGAGGATTTTGTAAACAGAGTACACATATAGTTACAAACAAATACTATACCAAAAGTTGCAATAAACACAAATAAAAATACAAAACGGGCCACAAATACTGTTTGCTTGTCGTAAGACAGGTATAATAGTATTTCAATGCTAGGCGTAATAAAATAATAGGCTACAAACAGTACGTATTTGAATGTCATATTATATTTGTCAACAATTAATGCCACAAAATTGTGTTTTTGAATTGCATTCATTAGTAATACACTGTTATTGTGTTGAACACACATTTTAATCAACGTATTAATTTCATGAAAAATGTATTTTAAATAAGTTGTACTGAAATAGCCGACACATAAACCACAAATAAACAAGCCAAAATATTGCATTAAAAATATTGCATCACAAATAGACCAAAATATGATTGATATTAACGTAAAACCAGATTTCGGATCCAAATAAGCGCTTACTTTCGCCAAAAGTAGTAAACAATTGCTTATAATCATAAAAAACCAATAGATTTGATTCAAACCATATTTTACCATCAATTGTGCAATTAATGTAAGTTTTCGTTTATGATTGGCATTTAATGGTGGGTTAAATGTATCATATTTTAGATCATAAAGTAAATTAAAAATGTAATTTTTTCCCTTTATCTCCAGTAATTGAACGATTAGACCAACAGATAGGGCACAAAATACCCCAATACTCATCATTGTTGATATGAGTACCGGCTTTCCGAGCGTATAGTTCGCGTCTGCCATAAGTGCTCGCATTTCCCGTGTGTTGATCGCAGCCGAGAGGCCATACCTGACGCCCACTAATAGTAATACAATTCTGGCCATAATTAGTGGCAATTGTTTGCGTTTATTGTAAATACCATTCATATAATCGTCGCATTTTGACGCTATTGAGAAAGATTTTTGATAAAATTGTTCAATACGTTCAACTGTTTCTAACGTAATGTTGTTGTTTTCATACATAAAATCAGCATATTTACTTTTCAATTTATTTATAATCTCCATTTTAATATTGGCTAATATAACTTTTAATTAATTTAGAAAATAAATGCATGTATAATGATTTAAATGTATTGACAAATACAATGCAAATAAATCAAATCTGGATATTAGTCTATTATTTATAACATCATTAAAGTGCACGTTATAAAATGTAATTATGTATTTTTTTAGTTTAATGTGCAAAAACATCTATTTGAGGAGAAATAGATCTGGGCATTATATATATATATATATATATATATATATAGTATGTATGTATTGATACAGATTGTAATAAAAAGCTTGACATCAAATATAGAGTCCGAGCAAATCACGTAATGAACATTTTTAATTAAATTATCTGTTTATTAATCAAAACATGGCTTGATATGCACTTTATTTATATGTTAAACATTACTTTCAATTATTTTAAACGATACAACTATTTTTCCTTAAATAGATGTGTTTGATAATGTATTTACAAATAAATCAAACCTAAAATTAGATCCACATATTTGCTTACTAATTATAAAATCGTTAAATTACGAAAAAACAACTTCTTGTACATTAAATATACATTACATTGTCGTGAATGTATACCAGTCACTCCGATTACAATTCCACTAAGACCTCATGGTGACTTCGATGAGCTCACCCACCACTCATTATGCCTATACATCACCTCATGTGCATACGATATGCACACATCTTATACTCATTATTGTAATTACCTTTATGTCACACACAGGGTATTTATAACTCCCACACACACTGTATTATTCGCAGTTCTCTCTCACTCTTAGAAGTGAACATTACTTTTAATATTTCTAATAAAGTTAATTGTGTACGAAGTGTACCTTTTATTGTCCACTACTAGTGGTTACGATAGCTGGCGATCGCTCGCGAATCTACTTCACTCAACAACATAATTAATTATATACATCTCTATCCAACTGAGGGGCGGCCAAAAGGTCGGTGTAGTGGGCCGTACGGGTGCCGGCAAGTCATCGCTCATCTCAACCCTATTCCGACTGACAGAGCCCTCCGGGGGTCGGATCGTAATCGACGGCATAGACATCGGGCGGATAGGGTTGCGTGACTTGAGGTCGCGGGTGTCGATCATACCGCAGGAGCCGACAATATTCGCGGGCACTTTGCGGCGAAATCTCGACCCATTCGGCGAGCGGCCGGACGACGAACTCTGGGCCGCTGTCGATGCCGTACAGCTCCGAAGCGTTGTGATGGCAACGCCCGGCCTATTGGACGGCGAAGTAAGCGAAGGCGGCGCCAATTTGAGTGTCGGTCAGCGCCAGTTGGTATGCCTGGCGCGGGCTATACTGCGCGACAATAGGGTACTGGTGCTCGACGAGGCCACCGCTAATGTCGATCACCGCACGGATGCGCTCATACAGCGTACTATTAGGGATAAGTTTGCCAATTGTACGGTCATTACGGTCGCCCATAGGATCAATACCATCATCGACTCCGATGTTATCATGGTATGTATGGTTAGAGTGGGCGCTGGACTGTGTCTTATATAACATGGTATTTACGGGTACTGTAGGTGTTAGAGGCCGGTGAGTTGGTTGAGTGGGGAATGGCATATGATTTGCTGCAACGGCCGGACAGTAGTTTCGCTAAACTGGTGGACAATACGGGTAGACAAATGGCCGCCCGATTGCGGCGAATGGCCCGTCAGTATTACCAGCGAACCTGTGCTGGCGATGGCGGACACGACCTGATCGTCGGCAGTGATGGTCCAGAAGTGGTGAATGAGAGCACCTGTAGTGTGCATTCGGATGAGGAAACTTAATTTTGATAGTTTTTGTTAATTTAATAAAAATGTTAAATTAAGTCATTATTTATTGATTGTATGAATTGATTGCATATTTTGTAAATAATAATTACAGAATTCAAGCTATGTTTATAATTTATTAACAATTAAATAATGTTTTGATGATTAACTTAAGTAGCTTATGGTTTGTATTAATAAAATAATTATTTACTAATAAAATATTTCAAATATAAGTAATTATATTTAAGTTTTTATAAAACTTGCCATAGATTAGTAACAGTGGGTTTTATCTAGATTTAAAACTTTTAATATTTATTAAAAAGAGGCTGTCCTTATATAGCATGGTATTTTTATTATAAAATAATTATTTAATATAAATTATTGTAAACTTACAAATATACTTTCAATGTTAACATTTTAAATATAGTCATAATTGAGAAAATTATTATATTGATCAAAACTAGTTTAAGTTAAACTAGTAGTATTTTAAATTAAAATTAAATTAAAATTAAATTAAAATTTTTAATACTAAATAGGCTTACCATGTCATATTGCTAATATTTGTGTTAAAAGAATTTTAACAACATTAAATATGACTAAAATACTATAGAAAATCCATAAGAATTACATTATAATATAATATTGATATATACTATGTATGGGTCAGATCACTGTCAGATCAATTTTATTGCTATGTAATTTATACTTTATTCATGTCTTACTCATATAATAGGTTATAAATTATCAAGGTAATACAGTAACCACGTCAAGTTATAAATAGCTTCGCCCCAATCATAATATATACAGTACATATTATGATACATTGTACTTATGGTCAATGTTTATACTGAACTTATAATAAATGGAAAAATTCTTATTCAAAAAATATTTCACCAGAAATTTCCATAAAAAAACTTCACATTTTGTCCCAATTATTGAAATGAAATGACAATAAAATCAAATGATATTTCACTTCACATACAGTCAGTGAAGGAACCGGTCGTCGACTGAGCGCTTGTTTTACACGCATTTAATGCCTATTTTGACACAATTTTAACTAAAATTTTATTATAATTAAATAATTATACATTAATTTTATATTAATTTATTGACTTATTTATACATTTCTAATACTTATACCAAAAAATATGACCAAAATCTACGCCAAAGACAGTATGGATCGGTTTGGCGACGATCTGTGCGAAGAACTGCTCAGTTATCTGCCTCTGGAGGACAAGTTTGGCGTCGAATGTGTGTCCCAACAGTTCCGGCGGTGTGTCTTCGGCGGCCACCGGGAGCTCATACTCTACGGCANCCGTGTCAAACACCGGCACTGACTATAAACAGCTAACCGCTGGCCTCCAGGCCTACACCCCATCCATACCGAGCAGTATTGGCGACATGTCTGAGATGGCCAGCAGTGGTGCGGCGACTGCGGAGGCGATGGCCCAGGAGTTGGCGGACATCGACGCCGAGACGGATGAGTTGGAGCAGAAGAGGGAGTCAAAAAAGTCCGGATCAGTCGAGAGTAGAGTGTACTGGGATTATACGAAAGCAGGCGCCGGTCCGGCGCTGTTCACGTTCACTGTATTGATGACTGTGTTGGCGCAAGTGTTGTACCAGTGGTCAGACCTGTGGCTCACCCAATGGTTAGTGTGTTTTTGTATTGTGTACTGAATGTTGTGTATATTACATTTAACCCTCCCTCATTATACACAAATTTTTGAAACACCCAACATGGGATAATAACCGGGTTATACTGTATATACAGTATATTTATTCTAACAAGTGATGACATTTTGTTATTGTTAAAATTTTCTTGGTACTTAAATGACAGGACAAACGCCGAGATCACCGGTCATAAGACCAGCATTGGCCACAATCTGATGGTGTATTCGTTACTAATCGCCGGTCTATTTGTATCGGTGTTCGTGAATACGGCCTCGTTTTACACGATGTGTATGCGATCGTCGGTTAAACTATATAACAGTATTTTCTACTCACNGAATACGGCCTCGTTTTACACGATGTGTATGCGATCGTCGGTTAAACTATATAACAGTATTTTCTACTCACTATTGAGAGCACCCATACATTTGTTTGAGAGCGCACCTGTAGGTAAGCGTATTAATTAGTGGCCGTGATTGTTTATTTTTTTGGTTTAAAATTATCTTGTTAAGCAATATTTGTCCCAATTTTTAGGTCAAATACTCAACAGGTTTACCAAAGACACCGGTATTGTCGACGAGTTGTTGCCGTCAAACGCTTTTGATTTCATAATTGTACGTAAATTTGTTGATTTTGCATTGAATTAAATTTAGTTTAATTATTTTTTATACAAATTAAATTATTTAATTATAAATCTAATTACAAATTAATGTATAATCAGTATTTTAATCAAATGCACATTCATTCAGTCCATATCACTAGTGATCGGGAATTTAATTGTTAACTCAATTATCAATTGGATTCTCGCGTTTCCGGCAATCATTTTGCTTATAATGGTATTTATGAGTCGGGTTTTTTACATCAGAGCCGCCCGGGATATAAAGCGCATGGAGGGGCTATGTATGTGCACACATTAATCATAATTAACTACCATGATACCATTCGATACCAACGGTAATTTCATTAAAATTCACCAAGTAGTAATTGAACTAAAAATCTATTATTTTAATTACTACTTGTGCGATTTTAATGAAATTTGCATGCGATCGGATTGCTAGCAATAATTATGATAATAATTAACTCAAATGCTTTTAACCATGTTTATAGCCCGGAGCCCGATCTACTCGCACGTGTCGGCAACGCTGGCCGGACTGTCAACCATACGGGCGTTTGGGGCGCAGCCCATGTTTGAGCGCCAGTTTGGTCGCCACCAAAACGACAACACATCCACTTATTTCCTATACATCTGCACCTCCCGGGCCTTTGGGGTACTCATGGACTGGATTTGTGTGCTATATATTGGCGCTGTTGTCGCCTTCGTTATGGTATACCCGGGACTGCCCGGCGGTTACGCCGGACTCATCATCTCTTCGGGTATGCGTTTATACACACAAACAAATAAACTAGACTCTCAAGCATAATACATGTGATTTTTTCCCCCGATAGCCCTGACCCTAACCACCACAACACAGTACGCAATCAAATGCTCGGCCGATCTCGAGTCCTATATGACTGCCGTCGAGCGTATGCTGGAGTACTCGCGGGTCGAGCCGGAGGCCGAGCTCGAGTCCCGGCCCGGACACCAACCGCCAACGGATTGGCCACAACGGGGCGCCGTAACCATCGCCGACCTAACCCTGCAATACCCTGAGTGCCCAAAACCGGCCCTCCGGGACATCTCTATCCAACTGAGGGGCGGCCAAAAGGTCGGTGTAGTGGGCCGTACGGGTGCCGGCAAATCGTCGCTAATCGCAACCCTATTCCGACTGACAGAGCCCTCCGGGGGTCGGATCGTAATCGACGGCATAGACATCGGGACGATAGGGTTGCGTGACTTGAGGTCACGGGTGTCGATCATACCGCAGGAGCCGACACTATTCGCCGGCACTTTGCGGCGAAATCTCGACCCATTCGGCGAACGCCCGGACGACGAACTCTGGGCCGCTGTCGATGCCGTACAGCTCCGGGACGTTGTGATGGCAACGCCCGGCCTATTGGACGGCGAAGTTAGCGAAGGCGGCGCCAATTTGAGTGTCGGTCAGCGCCAATTGGTATGCCTGGCGCGGGCTATACTGCGCGACAATAGGGTACTGGTGCTCGACGAGGCCACAGCCAATGTCGATCACCGCACGGATGCGCTCATACAGCGAACTATTAGGGATAAGTTCGCCAATTGTACGGTCATTACGATCGCCCATAGGAT